CCGGACCTCCCCCTCCCCGGGCTTGTTGCCCGCCCTGCGGGTGAGGCCCCGCCCAAGGGGGGAGCCAGCGGCGATCTCCTGTAAGCAGGAAGCCCCCAGGACGCTGCGGTGCTGACTCGGATCAAACGCATCCAGGCCGCAGTTGGGCTTCAGCTCGGGGCCCAGAAAAGCAGCAAAACCAGAACCAGCTGCATTGACTAATGACCCCCTGGCCGCACCAGTCGATGGAGGACGCACCTAGAGCCATGCATCTCCTGCAGGACCCACCGGGCCCCGGAGAATCCCCAGCCTTAGAACAAGCCCCTTACCGAGGGCTCCGCCTGCCCTCAACCTGCTCCCCGCCCCCCCTTCACCCTCCTCCCTCCTGGGCGCCGGGGCCCTTTGGCCTCCGTAACCCCGCTTCCTGAGCCCATTTCCTCCGCGGCTCTGTGACTTTGCAAATAAACTTTCTCCTGGAGGTTGAGTCTGGCATCCGAATTCTTTCTTAACCAGAACTCGAGTACGGAGGTTGCTGAGTCAAGGTCTGACCCGACTCCAATCACCGGCGACATTCTGGTGCCATTTTGACACCCACACAACCAACGTTTGGGGGCCCCGCCGACAAGTGCCTTTACTTTATCCGCTTATGTTGGGGGAAGGGGGAGGAGCAAAACTTAGGAAGGAAAAATGTTGAACACGTGGTTGCACCTTCACTGTGTCGCCTTGACAGCCGTAGGCTTGTCATACTTAACATTTACAGAAGAAAAAAGACAGGTAACACCTTAGATGGGCCCTGCACGATTTTCCTGGGGGTGGCCACCAGGCCTCTCTGGATTTTGGGTTTGTTTTTGTTTTTTCATATCTTTATTGATTTCAGAGAGGAAGGGAGAGGAGAGAGGGAAACAATGATGACAGAATCATTGATCAGCTGCCTTCTGCATTCCTACTGAGGATCGAGCCCACAACCCAGGCATGTGCCCTTGACCGGGATCCGAACCTGGGACCCTTCAGTCTGCAGGCTGATGCTCTATCCACTGAGCCAAACAAGCTAGGGCTGTTTTGTTTTTGTTTTTTTAAAATATATTTTTGTTAATTACAGAAAAGAAGGGGGAGAGAGGAACATCACTGGTGAATAATGGATCTTCTGCCTCCTTCGTGCCCCCCACTGAGGATCCAGCCCACAACCCAGGCCTGTGCCTCGACCAATAATCGAACCCCGACCTCCTGGTTCATAGGTGGATGCTCAACCACTGCGCCACACCAGCCGGACTGTTTTTTGTTAGTTTGGTTTTTTTCTCAACTTCTTACCCTCCTTGATACCCCAGCGCGAGGGTGTTGGGGGCAGTGCCTTGCCACTCCTCTCGCTGGTGGGCATGAGCTCTTGGCCTGCACTGCACACAGCAGGCAGGAAGTCGTGGCGCGCTTCGGGAGCACAGCGTTCCCTGCAGCAGCTTCCTCTGTGGGTGGCCGTTGGGACAGGCGGCCCATGGGGCATCACCCTGCGTGTCCCCGGCGGGGAGTCTGCAGCTGGCTCCTCAGCCCTGCAGGCACCAGGCCCAGAGAAGCAGCTAAACCAGACCAGTGATGGCCTAGCCCAGCGGTTCTCAACCTGTGGGACGCAGCCCCTTTGGCGGTCGAACGACCCTTTCACAGGGGTCGCCTAAGACCATCCTGCAGATCTGATATTTACATGACAATTCATAGCAGTAGCAACATGGCAGTTACGAGGTAGCAACGAAAATAATTTTATGGTTGGGGGTCACAACATGAGGACCTGTATTTAAAGGGCCAGAAGGTTGAGAACCACTGCCCTAGCCGATGCCAACCAGTGTCACTGACTAATGACCCCCCGGCCGCATCCATCAGTAGAGACCAGGACCCTGGGCGGACACACCTGGGAAGCTGATGACTATTCTAGTGGGGTTCACCCCTGTCCAAGGGCAGTCAGGCCACGGGGGCCTCAGACCAGGCCTGTCCTCACAAACAGGCCAGGAAGGTGGGCCAGGCTTCTGTTGACCACAAGCCACGGCATGTGAGGTGTGCAGGGTCACTGCCTGGACCCTGGGTCCTCCCGGTGCCCTGCCCAGTAGCCAGCTTACCTCCCAGCAGCGTGGCCGGGCCTGGCTGTGCAGCAGGGAGGCCACTGAGAAAGGGAGGCATTCAGATCTCCCCCCTCCCCGCCCTCACTGGGCAAAGCCCTCTCCAAGCTGCGTGGCCTGAGACCCCAATGGGAAAGGCTCCCTCTGGCCAGTGCCCATAGGGCTGGCAGCTCAGTATGGCACCCCCACTTTAGGGGAACAAAGGAGTGGTGTGTCGCACGCCCAGGAGTGAGCCCCAAGCTCTTCATGGCACCAGGTGGTTGGCCTTGCCCCTCCCATTGCCCCGTCGAGGGAGAGGGACCCTCCCTGTGGTCCTGGGGCCTGAGCCTGAGGACTCTGGCTGCTGTGGTGGCCGGGCTGGTGGGCCCTCCAGGTCCCTCCCTCGGCCAAGGGTGTTCCTGTCACCGTGCGGAGCCTCGAGCTGGTGGGGGCCTGTGGCCAGGGGGGAGGCCAGGCGCGGGGGGCCCGGCGGCCGGGGGGGC